ATCGTAACGGACTGAACGTTTGTAATCTTTTCTCGGCTTGCGGGGCGCAGGCGTTTGCCACGGCAACGGGTGTGCTTAACGTAAAGAGAGAGAGAGTGAAACGGTGCGAGTGGTTCTGAGTTGATCACCTGTTCGGGTTATTTTACCTTTGTTTTCCTTCGCTGTGGTTCATCACAGCCACTGGAGTTTCTGAACGTTCAATGAACGACAGACTTGGACTGATGACCTCGTTCGTTTGCAGTAAACGTCACAACCAACATCAAATAGGACAAATATATTAGATTAAGTTTTAACAAACAAATGGCTTCTACCACAATAATTATGTCAAATTACATTAATTATATCCCAGATTCAGCAGATTTGCCTTTGGTTGCTCTTTGGTTCCTCCTATCAGTCTGCAGTTTCGCATAGTGACGTCATCAAACCAAATTTCGGACATACCACTGACTGACGCCTGGTGGCCTCAGGTTTGCAACCAGCTTCTGACTGAGAAACCAGTAACCTGCTGAAACCAGTAACCTGCTGAAACCAGTAACCTGCTGAAACCAGTAACCTGCTCCCAGTGTCAGAATGTCACTGAGGAAGAAACTGCATCAGGTTTTCTATCACTTTATCATTTCTGATATAACTGATGGATATTTGCATAGAAAATTAGTCAATAGGGTTTAATTTATAATTTGTATGTCTTCATGCCATGAGGTAGATCTCAGCCGGCTGGTGAGAGAAAAAGTAGATCTTGGTCTCAAAAAGTTTGAGCTCCCCTGCTCTAAACCAACGATTCATTTCATGCAAATAAAACATTCATGAACAACTATCTCCGTTCAGTCAGCTGTGCAAAACTCACAGCTGGGCTCCACTTCACTGCATTTAGTGAAGTCATTAGTTTTTACTGCAGATCATTTACAGCAAACATCAGAAACTCCATCTGGGTTCAGAGTAAAAATGAGTTTCATCTGAGAAAAAATATTCAATCCAGGGGAAAATTTCTGGAAAATAATGAAGAAATTGATAAATGACGTGATTGTAATGATTAGTTATGGTTGCAGTAACCAAAACGATGAGGAACCAGACGGCCGAGGTGTGGGAACCAGGCGGGGGAGGTGTGGGAACCAGGCGGGGGAGGTGTGGGAACCAGGCGGCCGAGGTGTGGGAACCAGGCGGGGGAGGTGTGTGAACCAGGCGGCCGAGGTGTGGGAACCAGGCGGGGGAGGTGTGGGAACCAGGCGGGGGAGGTGTGGGAACCAGGCGGCCGAGGTGTGGGAACCAGGCGGGGGAGGTGTGTGAACCAGGCGGCCGAGGTGTGGGAACCAGGCGGGGGAGGTGTGTGAACCAGGCGGCCGAGGTGTGGGAACTAGGCGGCCGAGGTGTGGGAACCGGACGGCCGAGGTGTGGGAACCAGGCGGGGGAGGTGTGGGAACCGGACGGCCGAGGTGTGGGAACCAGGCGGCCGAGGTGTGTGAACCAGGCGGCCGAGGTGTGGGAACCAGGCGGCCGAGGTGTGGGAACCGGACGGCCGAGGTGTGGGAACCGGACGGCCGAGGTGTGGGAACCAGGCGGGGGAGGTGTGGGAACCGGACGGCCGAGGTGTGGGAACCAGGCGGCCGAGGTGTGTGAACCAGGCGGCCGAGGTGTGGGAACCAGGCGGCCGAGGTGTGGGAACCGGACGGCCGAGGTGTGGGAACCAGGCGGGGGAGGTGTGGGAACCGGACGGCCGAGGTGTGGGAACCAGGCGGCCGAGGTGTGTGAACCAGGCGGCCGAGATGTGGGAACCAGGCGGCCGAGGTGTGGGAACCGGACGGCCGAGGTGTGGGAACCAGGCGGGGGAGGTGTGGGAACCGGACGGCCGAGGTGTGGGAACCAGGCGGGGGAGGTGTGGGAACCAGGCGGCAGAGGTGTGGAAACCAGGGGGGGAGGTGTGGGAACCAGGCGGGGGAGGTGTGGGAACCGGACGGCCGAGGTGTGGGAACCAGGCGGGGGAGGTGTGGGAACCAGGCGGCTGAGGTGTGGAAACCAGGGGGGAGGTGTGGGAACCAGGCGGGGGAGGTGTGGGAACCAGGCGGCTGAGGTGTGGAAACCAGGGGGGGGTGTGGGAACCAGGCGGCCGAGGTGTGGAAACCAGGCGGGGAGGTGAGGGAACCAGGCGGGGAGGTGTGTGAACCAGGCGGCCGAGGTGTGGGAACCAGATGGCCGAGGTGTGGGAACCAGGCGGGGGAGGTGTGGGAACCAGGCGGCCGAGGTGTGGGAACCAGGCGGCCGAGGTGTGGGAACCAGGCGGCCGAGGTGTGGGAACCGGACGGCCGAGGTGTGGGAACCAGGCGGCCGAGGTGTGGGAACCAGGCGGCCGAGGTGTGGGAACCGGACGGCCGAGGTGTGGGAACCAGGCGGGGGAGGTGTGGGAACCAGGCGGCCGAGGTGTGGGAACCCGGCGGGGGAGGTGTGGGAACCAGACGGCCGAGGTGTGGAAACCAGGCGGCCGAGGTGTAGGAACCAGACGGCCGAGGTGTGGGAACCAGGCGGGGGTGGTGTGGGAACCAGGCGGTCGAGGTGTGGGAACCAGGCGGGGGAGGTGTGGGAACCAGGTGGGGGAGGTGTGGGAACCAGACGGCCGAGGTGTGGGAACCAGGCGGCCGAGGTGTGGGAACCGGACAGCCGAGGTGTGGGAACCAGGCGTTGGAGGTGTGGGAACCAGGCGGCCGAGGTGTGGGAACCAGGCGGGGGTGGTGTGGGAACCAGGCGGCCGAGGTGTGGGAACCAGGCGGCCGAGGTGTGGGAACCAGACGGCCGAGGTGTGGGAACCAGGCGGGGGTGGTGTGGGAACCAGACGGCCGAGGTGTGGGAACCAGGCGGCCGAGGTGTGGGAACCAGGCGGCCGAGGTGTGGGAACCAGACGGCCGAGGTGTGGGAACCAGGCGGGGGAGGTGTGGGAACCAGGCGGCCGAGGTGTGGGAACCAGACGGCCGAGGTGTGGGAACCAGGCGGGGGTGGTGTGGGAACCAGACGGCCGAGGTGTGGGAACCAGGCGGCCGAGGTGTGGGAACCAGGCGGCCGAGGTGTGGGAACCAGACGGCCGAGGTGTGGGAACCAGGCGGGGGAGGTGTGGGAACCAGACGGCCGAGGTGTGGGAACCAGGCGGCCGAGGTGTAGGAACCAGACGGCCGAGGTGTGGGAACCAGACGGCCGAGGTGTGGGAACCAGGCGGGGGAGGTGTGGGAACCAGGCGGCCGAGGTGTAGGAACCAGACGGCCGAGGTGTGGGAACCAGGCGGGGGTGGTGTGAGAACCAGGCGGTCGAGGTGTGGGAACCAGGCGGGGGAGGTGTGGGGAACCAGGTGGGGGAGGTGTGGGAACCAGACGGCCGAGGTGTGGGAACCAGGCGGCCGAGGTGTAGGAACCAGACGGCCGAGGTGTGGGAACCAGGCGGGGGTGGTGTGGGAACCAGACGGCCGAGGTGTGGGAACCAGGCGGCCGAGGTGTGGGAACCAGGCGGCCGAGGTGTGGGAACCAGACGGCCGAGGTGTGGGAACCAGGCGGGGGAGGTGTGGGAACCAGACGGCCGAGGTGTGGGAACCAGGCGGCCGAGGTGTAGGAACCAGACGGCCGAGGTGTGGGAACCAGGCGGGGGTGGTGTGAGAACCAGGCGGTCGAGGTGTGGGAACCAGGCGGGGGAGGTGTGGGAACCAGGTGGGGGAGGTGTGGGAACCAGGCGGCCGAGGTGTGGGAACCAGGTGGGGGAGGTGTGGGAACCAGACGGCCGAGGTGTGGGAACCAGGCGGCCGAGGTGTGGGAACCAGGCGGCCGAGGTGTGGGAACCAGACGGCCGAGGTGTGGGAACCAGGCGGGGGAGGTGTGGGAACCAGGCGGCCGAGGTGTGGGAACCAGACGGCCGAGGTGTGGGAACCAGGCGGGGTGGTGTGGGAACCAGACGGCCGAGGTGTGGGAACCAGGCGGCCGAGGTGTGGGAACCAGGCGGCCGAGGTGTGGGAACCAGACGGCCGAGGTGTGGGAACCAGACGGCCGAGGTGTGGGAACCAGGCGGGGGAGGTGTGGGAACCAGACGGCCGAGGTGTGGGAACCAGGCGGCCGAGGTGTAGGAACCAGACGGCCGAGGTGTGGGAACCAGGCGGGGGTGGTGTGGGAACCAGACGGCCGAGGTGTGGGAACCAGGCGGCCGAGGTGTGGGAACCAGGCGGCCGAGGTGTGGGAACCAGACGGCCGAGGTGTGGGAACCAGGCGGGGGAGGTGTGGGAACCAGACGGCCGAGGTGTGGGAACCAGGCGGCCGAGGTGTAGGAACCAGACGGCCGAGGTGTGGGAACCAGGCGGGGGTGGTGTGAGAACCAGGCGGTCGAGGTGTGGGAACCAGGCGGGGGAGGTGTGGGAACCAGGTGGGGGAGGTGTGGGAACCAGACGGCCGAGGTGTGGGAACCAGGCGGCCGAGGTGTGGGAACCAGGTGGGGGAGGTGTGGGAACCAGACGGCCGAGGTGTGGGAACCGGACAGCCGAGGTGTGGGAACCAGGCGTTGGAGGTGTGGGAACCAGGCGTTGGAGGTGTGGGAACCAGGCGGGGGTGGTGTGGGAACCAGGCGGCCGAGGTGTGGGAACCAGGCGGTCGAGGTGTGGGAACCAGGCGGGGGAGGTGTGGGAACCAGGCGGGGGAGGTACATGATGAGCACCAGGAAACGACCAATCAGAATGTCTCACATACAGAATCCATTTTTATTCATGACATTCATGGTGATCATAGACATGGAAAGCAGAAACTTTGGCCATTCTGGGGACTTTCCCCTCTGTAGCACAGAACAAGTCAGCTGTAGCACCAACACAGACAAGCATGAACATGCATGGCGGTTCAGGAAGTTTGCTCCTCTCTTCCTGTTGCGGTCAAAGTCCAGCTAAAGCCTCGCTTCATTCCTGTTGTTGCTCCTGGAAACAGTAGGAATGCTTCCTCCTGCCTCTGCAGAGGTAAATGTGACGGATCTGTGTGTGACAGTAATCCTGAGGCATGGAACGCCCTGAAGAAGAATGTGACGGAAACAGGAAATGAAATGGAACATTTCCAGTCAAATACTCGCTTCACCTTCTAAAACCTTCTACTTTGTTTCTGGATGTATCTTTTAAGCAGTAAAATAATTATAATACAAATGTTTATAAAATAGCAGCACACAAGTGACACATCACAACTAGGTAATGTTATTTTGTATAAATGAAATATTCATAGCTCATAGCAGCGCAAAAACAAAATAAAATATCCACACTTTTTGTTGTTGATGTCTTCACACCGCGGACCGCTCTTCACTTTGGAATACAGTATCTCTAAATGTGAAAACCAAAACCCCCACAGTGGGTCTGATGGCCCCCAGAGAAACACACACACACACGCACTCACACACACACACACACACGCACTCACACACACACACACACACGCACTCACACACACACACACACACACACACACACACACACACACCCTCACACACACACACGCACACACACTCACACACACACATGCACACACACACACACACCCTCACACACACATGCACACACACCCTCACACACACACACACATGCACACACACCCTCACACACACACACACCCTCACACACACACACACACACACACACACACACATGCACACCCTCACACACACCCTCACACACACACACACACCCTCACACACACACACACATGCACACACCCCTCACACACACACACACCCTCACACACACACACACACTCTTTCCTCAAACCGATGCAAACAAGCAGCCTGAACCAAAGGAGCTCATGAAGTTCCAAAATATTTCTGATGGTATCAATAATTATAAATATTACTAATAACCGTTATTGTTCCAGCGGTTTCCTGGCAACAGGACCGTCTGCTCGACACAGTTCTGTCCCTCCAGAGGTGGACGATCTGGCAGGACGCGTCCTCTTCTCCCACTGCCTGCAGACGATGAAAAACTCATCTTTGCAAATAAAAATAGAAAATGGATGATCTCTGTAATTGTCCTGTCTGCAGCTTCAGCGGCAGAACGATTCCCTTCTCTGCATCCAAGGCACTGCAGCTTCATCAGGCTTGTTGCTTTTGCACGAGAGCTTCAGACAAAATCTATTTCATGTGCAGGAGCTTTTGTGTTTTTTTTTTTGTTTTTGTTTTTACTTGAAGAAAAGGTCAACTACAAAACTAGCCAGCACTGTCCTTGCATTTCTTTAAGGCCTTGTGTTTTTAATGATTTTTTGCTCTTTTGTTCTATTTTTCTGCTTTTATGAAGATTGGAAGTGTTTTTAAAAAAGATTCTTGGAAATCCTGTGCAATGGCGCCCTCTGGTGCTTCACAAGTTGACGTCGCGGACGTCTGTGGGCGTGGAGGCCTGGTCCAGCTCCTCCAGGCCCTTCCCGCTGGGGCCCCGCTGCGTCTGCTGCTGTTGCTGCCGGCCCTCGCGCAGGCTGCTCTCCAGGACGCGCTCGATCTGCTCCTGGCACTCCTTCAGAACGTCCTGCAGGGAACATGCACATTTCAGCTTCCCAGTTCTCAGAAACTGGGTTGTTCTGTGTGTAAATACAGAAATTCATTTTGAAAGAACTGGGTCTTGGGTTCCTTTGGGTTTAGAGGAACCCCAGAGGAACATCAGAGGAAGTTCCCCTGAAGTTCCCCAGAGGAACCTCATCAGAAGAACCTCATCAGAGGAACATCATCAAAAGAACCTCATCAGAGGAACCTCATCAGAGGAACCTCATCAGAAGAACCTCATAGGAACCTCATCAGAAGAACCTCATCAGAGGAACATCATCAGAAGAACCTCATCATAGGAACCTCATCAGAGGAACCTCATCAGAAGAACCTCATCAGAAGAACCTCATCAGAAGAACCTCATAGGAACCTCATCAGAGGAACATCATCAGAAGAACCTCATCATAGGAACCTCATCAGAAGAACCTCATCAGAGGAACCTCATCAGAAGAACCTCATCAGAGGAACCTCATCAAAAGAACCTCATCAGAAGAACCTCATCAGAGGAACCTCATCAGAAGAACCTCATCAGAGGAACCTCATCAGAAGAACCTCATCAGAGGAACCTCATCAGAAGAACCTCATCAGAGGAACCTCATCAGAAGAACCTCATCAGAAGAACCTCAGAGGAACCTCATCAGAAGAACCTCATCAGAAGAACATCATCAGAGGAACCTCATCAGAGGAACCTCATCAAAAGAACCTCATCAGAAGAACCTCATCAGAGGAACCTCATCAGAAGAACCTCATCAGAGGAACCTCATCAGAAGAACCTCATCAGAGGAACCTCATCAGAAGAACCTCATCAGAGGAATCTCATCAGAAGAACCTCATCAGAAGAACCTCATCAGAAGAACCTCATCAGAGGAACCTCATCAGAGGAACCTCATCAGAAGAACCTCATCAGAGGAACCTCATCAGAAGAACCTCATCAGAAGAACCTCAGACTAACCTCATCAGAAGAACCTCAGAGGAACCTCATCAGAAGAACCTCATCAGAAGAACCTCATCAGAAGAACCTCATTAGAAGAACCTCATCAGAGGAACCTCATCAGAAGAACCTCATCAGAGGAACATCATCAAAAGAACCTCATCAGAAGAACATCATCAGAAGAACCTCATCAGAGGAACTCATCAGAAGAACATCATCAGAAGAACCTCATCAGAGGAACCTCATCAGAAGAATCTCATCAGAGGAACCTCATCAGAAGAACCTCATCAGAGGAACCTCATCAGGGGAACCTCATCAGAGGAACCTCTGGGTTCCTCTGAGCTGCTCCAGATGTGCAGCCAGAGCTCAGGTTCCTACAGCCCACCAGGGTCGTTTGCTGGGTGAGATATTCTTCCTTGTCATTCCCAAACATTCAAACTTCAGCAGTAGCCTTGACATCAGCAACTGAAGACACAGCCAGCATTAGTGCTTTTTTGATGATAGCCGCTCTGTCTGTCTGCAGGGGATCAATCTGAGACCGGTCTCCTCCAGTTCCACCATCAGAGGCCGCCAAGGCAATCAGACAATCCACCTGGGATCCTAAACCCTCAGCAGCAAGAGAGTTCATGTCCTCTCTTGGGAGTGTGGCGGAGAACCAAGACAGTCCGCGCTCCTCCTCCACGCCAAGTCACAGGCCTGTGCAGTCCACTTTAACCCGACTCCAGTCTGGGCAGACTGGTGGGAGACGTCTGCCTAGAAACTCCGGTTTGTCTGGTTAAGTATGATTGACCTCTGACCTGTGGTCCTCCAAATCTCGGTCCGGGTTCGGTTGAAGTGAATGCCAACCAGACCAGAGACCGCTCCCAAAGCAGGAAGTGGATTACAACACAAAGCATTCTGGGTAAGTCTTTATCCAAAGACCAGGAACTCCTCCAACTGCTAAAATCTGACGCCTCAATTTTAGATTCTATTGGTGAAGATGGGAGTTTGCTCTCAAGTGTCTTCAAAGGTTCTTGGTGCAGCACCTCTACAGGCCAGGAGGGGAACAGTTTGGTTTGACTCAGAGCAGAGAGAGAGAAAACCACAGCAGCTGGAAGCAAAACAGATGATGAAGTTCTGGTTCCAATAGAACCGGGTCTAATACATCCACAGAAAGGTCAAAGTGTTGTAAAGAGAGGAATGATGATTGGCGTCATTAAGGAACTCCAACATGGCTCAAACACTGCCCTCTGGTGGTGAAAGGTGAGTAAACATGGCAGTATGTTCAGCATGCATGCAAACACACAATGAGCCTTGAAAGCAGCAGCCAGGTGAAGGAGCAGCTCTTCAGGTACCAGGAAGCCAAAGCTAATCTAAACCTGATGGGGCCCAGATGTAGCCTGCAGTGCTTCTGGACCCAGCTCTCCCTCACATCAGAAACACTGGTTGGGAGATGAACATCCCTGGGGGACCAAAGGTTGCTGGGTCAAAGGGCAAACGGCAAGACACGCTGTGATTCCAGGTTCCCTGTGATTCCAGGTTTGCTGGAACCTGGAATCACAGGGAGATTTCAAAAGAAGGATTGCTAACTGTCTGCAGCAGAGGACAGCATTGTGTGTTTGGTGATCACTGCAAAAAATGAGATGTTTGGTCCATTTTGAATCACCTCTGATGCTCTGCATGCGTTGCTCCTGGGAAGTCAGAGTGTTCTGGACTCGATGCAAACGTACATCGAACAGGTCTGCATAAACCTACATACTACGACTGAGTATTTGGCGTCTGCAACACTGAGCTGATGATGTTGAGAATCGATGCAACCAGTCAGAAAGACGTGCAGCAGAGAAGTTGCTGCTCCCTGTGCCAGGAGCGGTTCTTCTCAAGTGGAGAAGAAACGGCTAGGCACTCGCTAGTAACAACTAAGATGGTGGAAGCTGTAGGAATTTGTCAGAAGAAATGTAGGCAATCGGGACCCTTCACTGTGAAATGACCATGAAGACTCAAGTTGCTGGGTTAGGTTTGTTGGTCAGAGCATGGACTGCTGCAGGACGGATCACCTCGGAACGCACAGAGGAAACCCGAAAAGCTTTGCGCTCACCCATAGAGTCCAACAACCATGAGCCCCATTGGTGATAAAATCTCAAGCCCTGTGAGAATACAAAGAGCAGTGCAGAACATGCAAAGGAGCTGCCTGTGTCTTACCACAGGAATGCGTCTCTGCAGCTCTAAAAAGCAGCATTTGGGATCCCAAGCCAAGCCTTCTGGGCTTCACTGGAGAACCTTTAATGACTTCAGCGTGTGACTACTGGAAACATGTTTCAGAGCAGATCCAGATACGGAACAATGCAACGTCTGGAACCGGAAACCACGTGAGCCGGCCCCTCCCCTGCAGCCCCGGCGCTGGAGGGCCCCAGCCCAAACTCGCATCGTTCTGCACGGCTGTGCTGTAGCGGGGAGCGACACGTGCGCGCCATCACTGGGCTGCCTTTGTGACACTGGCAGCAGGGGGAAGTCGTGCAGACAGACAAAACCAAAAGGAAGAAATGTGTGAAGCCGAGGAATGTGAGTTAACTGCTGCCTGCACCACAAGAGACAGAGTTAGGAACATCTGAAGCAAACAGCTAGAGGCAGACTCCGAGCGCCGGCCCAAAACAGCCTGTTGAGGACTGACACTGGGAAAGCACAGGCGCCTCATGACTGAGAGTTTCCACAAGTTCCAACAGAAAGTGTGACCTTTTGCTTTCTTTGGCCTGGGTAGCCAAACATCACAAGCCATGATCTTTCAAAATAAAGCGTGCTTGTTTCAGCAGTGTTGATGAGAGCCACAGTGGGACAGAAACAGGAACAGAGGGCGAAATGAGAAAACGTGCTTCCGGTATCTCATCATGTGATGCTGAATGAACAAAAACACACGAATGGAAGAAAACAGGCATCAAAGCAGTGGTCCACTTCTCTAACCCCGACATCCTGTTTAATCCAGCAACCAGAACTCAGTCAACATGCCAACATCATGGCTAATGCAGCCCACGGGCCCAGGGACCCACGGGCCCAGGGACCCACGGGCCCAGGGACCCACGGGCCCAGGGACCCACGGGCCCAGGGACCCACGGGCCCAGGGACCCACGGGCCCCACCCAGAGGTGAAACACGCACAGGCTTTACTAATATTAGGAATATCTCAGACCCCTCCACTCTCAGGCCCCTTACTTGCTAGCAGCATCCAGAAGTTGCTCGTATTTTTCAGTCATGAAGCAGAAGAGAACCTTTCCTTAGTGAAACTGCAGATGTGATTCTGTGGTGAACATCATCAATAAGCTTGATTCTTCCAGTGACCCAGCCCCGGACTCGGCTCTATCGCATTTCTCTGTGACAGATTGCAGCTTTTGGATATCTGGTTGGCGGCGCTGGCGACTTCTGAATCGTTTGGTTCCTTTGCTCCATATGTCGAGGAAACTCAGCGTTGCTGTTAGCTGCAGAGCTGAATCACTGCAGCTCCTCCTGTGTTGCCTGTGTGCAGAGCGTCGATCGCAGAGCGCCGAACACACTGCGGCTCTGTGCTGCTCAGGACAGATGTTTGCTTTTCCACTCTGCTCTATGAGGCTTCGACGGCTCCACGGAGAGGCTTTCTAGCCGCAATGCATCATGGGCCGGAGGCAGGCGGGTTGCTTCACCTGCTCTTCCTTCTGCTTCATCTCCAGAAGCTGCTGCTCCGACCACATCACAGGCTGCAGGAACCAACCACTCAGATCCTGATGGCTCATTGCATCACTGATGAAAGCATCTGTGTCAGCGAACGCATCACATCCCAACCGACCACTCTGGGTCCGACTCCACGTCCAAACTGTTGAAGAAAATCTCAAAATCTGCACCACAAAGGAAAAGGCATTGACACTGAGATGGTTCCGGTTCTGGTGTCAGGATTTCTGCTCCTTATCAAAAACTGGATGTCCAAATATGAGTGAAAAATCCTGATGACAGATAATGCAGGAGTGTTTCAACCTCAATAATGTGATTTATTAATGGCATTTCTAACTTCACAAAGTTCCCTGCTGAGACACAGGAAAACCTTCCTGCTGTCTGACAAATTCCTCCAGATGAGAGCGAATCAGAGCGTCAGACTCACCACCTCTGTGTTGGTGATTTTGGCCAGCAGGTCCGTCAGGCTGTCGCCCCACTGGGATTGGTCGGCCGAGTCCAGCTGCAGGCCGCAGATGGCCGCCCCCACGCTTCCTGTGGCGATCATGGAGGGGGATACATGGCGAATCGGAAATCTGCAACAACATTCATTTCAGTTACATTCTCCACTTCGCTGCAAACATCTCAAGTCTAATTTATTTCTTAAGTTTCCAGCTGGAACAACAGGGGGCGCCACAGACACATGAACAATATCACTGCAAGTTGTCCTGTAATTAATCTTTAAACATTCATCTACAAAATAAGCAACACATTAAAACAATCCATCTGGTTACTAAAAGATTAAACAGATATAAACTGAACAACAAAAATATAGTTTTAATCTTCAGGTTTTCAACCATCAGATTGGAGCAAAGTCTTTTTCTATCTACTCATCTTCAGAGGTTTACAAAGCTGCTGCTACTGCGGATGCTGCATTAGCATTAGCATCCATAGTGTGCTAATGCAGCATACATCAGCATACTGTGGATGCTAATATATGCATCCACAATATGCTGTATGCTAATGTAGCATTAGCTGTTACTATGAGTGCTAATATATGCATCCAGAGTATGCATATATTAGCATCCAGTATGCTAATAGCATTAGCTACATTAGCATTAGCTGTTACTGTGAGTGCTACATTGAGATTAGCTATCACTAGTAAATAACTTTATTTTTATTCAGGTGGTTTAAACCACAGGTGTTGAACTCCAGTCCTGGAGCCACTGCCCTGCATCTCCTAGATGAGCCTCTGCTGCAGCACCTGAACAGAATAATTAGGTCATTAAGGTTCTGGAGAGCCGATCCACACTGGAGCCGTTTCATTCCAGTGTTCTGGACCTGTGCCTCATCCAAGACGTGCAGAGCAGCGGCCCTGGAGGACTGGAGTTTGACACCCTGGTTCAGACTGACTCTGGGCTCGAAGCTACCAGCTAACCCACATCATAGGTTCACCTGGTATTTGTGTTATTTTCAGTTCTTGCCACCCTGAAACACCATGAGCTGGAAAGTCAGCAGTCAGCTCATAAAGCTGGCCTGCACTGTGGCGGTTCGGAGCACAGCTCCGTAACGACCTCAGGTCTGGATAATGAGGTTCACTCGGCTTGTAAAGGAGCTGAAAAGCAGCCACCCTCACCGGCTCCCCTTTACCCGACCGGCCCCTTTTCTTCCACCTCCTCAGTAAATCGTGCGCTCGCTGAAAAAAGCCCCACAGCGCTGGGAATAGTGGGAATAAAGAGGCTCAGTGCCTGTGCCAGCGCGCGCTGCTGTAGGTCCTTTTTCCACGTGTGGTCACAGGCGCGCGCCTCAAAGACCAATAACCTTGTTAGCTCCCCTCTCTGTCATTCATGATGCAAATGAGACAGCTTGTGAACGGCCAGAAGCCCGCGAAAGACAGAGAGACACTTCTCCTCTCTCCCCTCCTACCTTCCTCTGTGGAGGACACATGGCCGCTCGGAGAGGATAGAGGGCCGCAGGGAGGCGCAGGGAGCTGCGCGCTTTGTGGCTGCAGCTGGCAGCGGCTGTTAGCATATTAATGCAGAGTGTGACTCCATTGTCGAGAGTCATCACCTCACCTCACCCAGTGGCCCTCCAGCCCTCCGAACCCAAAGATACAACTCAGTGAGACGCGCGGGACAAAGATGGGGGATGAGGGGAGATATGTGGAATGTGTGGTGGAGCAGATTCTATGTTCAATCGGCCTGCCATACACCCTGTCCAGACCTCTGTGAGGCCTGCAGGAAGAATAGAGTGGCCCTGCAGGGGCCCCGCCCCGTCCTCTGTTCCTGGGCCACCGATGGGCAGGAGGGGGATGGGGGTGTTTGGGGCAGTCCCCTCATTAGCATATGGTCACATTTAGCAGAGCGGCGGCTCTTTGATAGCTGCAGCCTGCCTCATCCACCAGCCGCTCTCTCATCTGGTGGGCCCAGTGTTGACAACACATACACACACACACACACCACACACACACACAGCATTACATCACCCCTCCAAGAGGAGGGAGTGCACAAAGACATGCATGGATTTACTGTAAGGCTGCAGTCAAGAAACACACAGAGCACAGATGCAGCTCTGTGCGGTGGGCAGCTGCCTGATTTTTCACCCAGACAGGCTAGGGGAAGAGGGGGCAGTTATTGCCTCTTTGCCCCACTGATGTTCTTGCTGAGCATAAACTATGTCGGGCTCTTTCTGCCCCAGGTGCCGCAGTCTGACCCTGCAGCTCTTGGGTTTCTGCCCAGCAGATTCCTCTGTTCCTGATCCATTCATCATGGATCTTCCTCATCCTCATCTGTGCTGCACATCAGCATACTGCAAGCTAGCATGCTGATTGGACGCAGTGCAGACAAACCATTCTCAGTTCTCCTCCTACCTGTGGCGCAGAGAGCGATGAAAGTCTGGACGTGTTTCCGGATCAGAACCAGCTTGTCGTCGGCCAGCGGCAGCCTCCGCACGATGTGATCGATGAAATCGTTCGGCGTCACCGCTGCCAAGTTCCACTTCAACTTCCCCAAAACCACCAGCTCCCATTCCTGCAGAGACAGGAACGACGTTCAGAACGCTGTGGACGCAGCAGCCAGAGCCGGACGGGAATGCGCGTCGGTGTGTGTGTGTGTCTGTGTGTGTGTGTCTGTGTGTGTGTGTGTGTGTGTGTGCAAGCTGCTTTCATTGTTCCTTTCACTTCCTGAAAGAGGTGACTCATGAGGAGTTGGTGAGTAATCTGAGGGATTAAATCTTGGTTTGTCTGCAGCGCCGCAGCCTTGTGACTGTCGCTGGTTTCAAACCGCATGGACTGAGTCATGCGACGATTCAATGCGACTGCAGCCAACCTGCAGCTGCTTGGCGCCTCAGCTGAGGAAACCTGAAGGGAAGCAGCAAAGTAATCCCTCCAGAGAACCAGAGCATTCAGAAATCCTTCCTCTGCATGTCAGATGGAAAGATGCAGCATCTGCAGCAGCCTTGCAACACAGACTGGATGCTGACAGAGTGGCAGCAGCCAGCAGGCAGCCACTTCCTTCTGCTTCTGCCTTCCTCTGGTCACACCTTCTGTGCAACATTCTGGTTCCTTTACAAGAAATAGTTACTAAAGACAAGCGCTGCCGCAGCAGCAGCAGCCGCGGCAGCAACTGCGGCGGTGCAGCGATCACATGGCCTGAGCAGCTGATCTCTGCTTCCTGTGTGAACATGGCAGCCAAACTGCTGCCTTATACAGAAATAAAAGCAGTTCAAGGACTCAGAGAACCTGAAAGTTTCTGCATTTCTCTGCCTGGTTCAACACAAACAGCAACAGAACCAAAATGAGCTGCAGGAAGAAACCATGGAGACGGGCTCAGTGGGTAGAACCAGAACCTGATGCAGCCGCAGAACCACCAGATGAACGACGCATTAAAGACAGAAATATGAAAAGAA